GTTGAGAAGTTAGAGGGTTGATATGTTGTGGGGTTGTTAACAAATGTCATAAAACAACATGTGTACTACTGTTTCATGAGAAACTATTTGTTCTGTAAGCCTTCACCTGAAGTACAATAAATAAATAAATAAATAAAAATCAGAATTTTTATTGGAACAGCATTGAATTTATAGATTAACTTGACAAGAATTGACTGCTTTAGAATATCAAGTTGTATATGGGATATCTTTCTCTTTATTTGAATCATCTTCTCTGCCCTTCGGAGCCCTTGTGGCACAGTGGTTAAGAGCTACAGCTGCTGACCAAAATGTCAGCAGTTGGAATCCACCAGCTGCTCCTTGGAAACCCTGTGGGGCAGTTCTGTTCTGTCCTATAGGGTCGCTATGAATCGGGATTGACTCGACGGCAACAGGTTTGGTGTTTTGTTTTGTTTTTTAATCTGCCCTTCAATAACATTTTATGCATTTCTTCATAATGGTCTTACACATCTTTTGTTAAATTCATTCCTAGGCATATTGCTACTGAAAATGGAATCTTTTTTCGATTACAGTTGGATTGTTTTCAGTTTGGGCTATTATAAATAATGCTGCTATGAAATACATGCTTCTGGAACATGTGCCCTCATTTCTGTTGGGTATATACCTCAGACTAAAATTGCTATGTCTTAGGGTAATGAGCCTTCAGTTTTAATACATAATGCCATCTATTTACCAAAACAGTTAGATCACTTTATGTATGTAATTTCCAAGATTTCTAAAAAAAATTCACCAACATTTGGAATTATCAGTCTTTACTTTTAGACATTGGGAGGGTGTGTAGTGATATCTTACGGTTTTCACAAATACTAATAACTTTAACAATGGTTCCTTGAACTAATTTCTTTTCTTTTCTAGGGAGAACTGGAACTATGGTTTGTGCCTGCCTCATTGCTAGTGAAATATTCACAACTGCAGAGGTATAAAAGTTGTTACTACAAACTCTGCCTTACGTTGATTGAAACTGCTAGCTCTGAAGTACAACTGGTAGGGTGTTAAGATGATTCTTTGAATCATGGTACTTAAGTGAACATTGTAATTGGAGGGACAGTTATTAGAAAGCCTGATTTTGATAGTTACTTGTTTCACTTGCACTAGTTAGTAACTGACCTAGTACCTCTCACTAGGGTGAGCTGAGGGAGGCAGCTACTTCCACACAAAATTGAAGGGCGTTCCAAAAATCTCAGTAATCAAAATAAGTAATATTTTTATACAATATTTTAAAAAATCAAAATGAATGCAAATAATCCATGATGAACACAATATCAACATTTTAAATAAAAACAGGATCTAACGGAGCCAGAATTAGGGGAAGGCCAGTAAGGCTGAGTTATGCAAGTGCAAAAAAACTCAGCAATCAAGATGTCTCACCCACCCGCCTCACCCTAGTCATGGCAGAAAGAAGACTGAGAACTCTGCTTTCAAAGGTGGAAACAGCCCACTCAGTCTCCTCAGAAATTTCCAGAGGTTACAGACCTAACTATTTTGATTATGCAAAGATAGTAACATTCAGGAGAGACTTTGTTCTGAATTAGAAAATGGTACATTTTATTTACCTAGAACTTCTGAGGATATTCAAGATCCCTTGGAGAACTTATCTAATTAATCTTGATATTATTCTTCTGAGGAGACAGAGTGGGCTGTTTCCACCTCTGAAAGCAGGGTTTTCAGTATTCTTTGTGCCATGTTGTCACTCAGTCAGGATATGGTCTAGATAAGAGAGGCTGTGGGTTATGCCCAATGTCCAGCACTCTTAATTCCACCACTTTCTTTTTTTGTGTCTTGAGACACACAGGTTTTGAACATGAGTGCCCTAGGACAGTGTTTTACAGACTATGAATCATGATCTATTAGTGAATTGTAAAATCAATTTATTGGGTTGTGACCAGCATTTTAAAAAAATTGAATAGATTAGAATAGAAAATATGAAAAGGTAAGTATTGTTTTGTGAAACTTTGTTTCAGTTATGTGTGCACGTGTGTGTGTGTGTCTAATAGATTTATTCATGTGAACATGTAGATTATAGCTGAAAATATCTGTTTGAAAGCCACTGATCTAGAGCCCTAGACTGAGAGCCAGAAGACCTGTCTTCCAGGGCCTCTTCTGTTTCTATGTGTCCCCATCATAGGTCACTTGGTTTTCTTTTGGTCTCAGTCTTCTTCTCATCTGTAGGAAGGCTAGAAAGAAGGGCTGGACCAGATATAGTCCTTAAGGTTTCCCAGCTCTTAAGTTCCATGTCTTCATGTATCTTTGAATGATAGCACTTTATAACAATGTCTAATTTTGTTATTTTGGGTAGCCTCTGCCCAAAAACCACTGACTTAAGGAAATCATGTGCCAGTAAAAACTTTAAGAATGCCTTACATAGGAAAGGGAAGAGTGCAGATGAACCATGGTTGGATTTTCCCCTTTTCTGTAGGAAAGCCTTTATTATTTTGGAGAACGCCGAACAGATAAAACCAGTAGCTCTAAATTTCAGGGCGTAGAAACACCTTCCCAGGTAAGTTTCCTTTTAAAAAGGGAGGGACGTCGTCTTTGGGGGAGTGGGCTGAGAGTGGCACTTATTATTTGGTTTCACTTTAGACTCCTCCCATGGTGACCAGGCAGCAGCAGCTGGGTGCTCTGTGACAGGCCAAGGAGCCTTGATCCCTCCCAGAGCCCAGAGGGGTGGGCGCACCTTGGAGGCTGCCTGACTGGGGAGCATTGGGCTCTCCCCGGGGCATTCTGCATTCCATTTTCTATTGGTTATTGTTCCTGAGTTGATTATCTTCCTGAAGTAGGGAAGCCAAAGCCCTAAGATTCCAGACACCTGAAGATGATCTAAAGTCACTATCTCTTATTTCCCTGTAGAGAGGAACCAAATCTTCCACAAACCCCTACTGGGTCCATTCAACCTGTGCATAACAGGTGAAAGAGAAAGGAAGAAGGAAATGAGCATTTTTTCAAGAACCTATTATATACCAGGCACTACTGCACTCTTACATATATTATCTCATTTAATTATCATAACACCCATGTGAAATATATATTTTTGCCCTATTTTTACCTTTTAAAAATGTTTTATTATGGAAATTTTCAAACATCGAAAAGTCAAGAGAATCATATAATAAATCCCCTTAGACTCATCATGCAGTTTCAACAATCATTTCAGCACATAGCCAACCATGTTTCATCCGTTCCCTTCCTACTCTCCCCACCCTCCCACTGTCCACCCCCCTAAATCTTAATTGTTTTGAAGCAAATCCTAGTTATCATATCTTTTATACCACAAGTAGTTCAGTAGAACTTCTGAGATAAAGACTCTTAAGAAAGAAACATAACCTTAATACCACATACTACACCTAAACATATTATACCTTAACAGCACCTTAATAATATCAAATGTCTAGTCCATGTTTACACTTCCATAATTGTCTTTAAATTTAAAATTTTTAATTTAAAATTTTTAGAATTTATCTCCATCAGGATCCAACAAGTTTGTTTGATTATGTCTCTTACTTAAGAGTCTTACTCTTTTAGTTTACAGGCTCCTACCTCTCTTTTTTTATTCCTAATTATTTGTTTATTAAAGAACCAGGACATTTATCCTATAGAGCTTACAACATTCTAGACTTTGCTGAACCATGCTAAGGGTTTTATGCTCATTATCTCATTCAATATTCTCAACACCCCTATATGTAGGCACTGTTAGGATTCCCATTTTACAGATTGAAGTTCAGGGAAATTAACTTTTTGAACCAAGAATTCAAATGGAAATTGTCATACTCTGAAGCCCATTGTTTCTTGTGATGGGAATTCAATGGGGAATTAACCCTTGACCTTGTTAGCAGGCCATTCTAACTGCTGGCCCTAAGCCTTTAAAGTTTGGGACTAAAGAACTCAACATTAGCCACTGATACTTATTCACCACACCCAAGCAAAAAAAGATAGCCATAAGCCATAGGCTAAAATTAATACACAAACTTCCTGCAGCCCGGCTCTAATTGTGCCGTCTCCATGCTCAAAAACCATAATGGTTCCCACTGCCAATGTAAACAAATCCAAATGTGTTAACCTGGCACTCAAGGTTTTCTATAATTTGATTTTCCAACATTTTCTTCCACTATTTGCAATCACATATCCCACAGTCTAATCTTAACACGTTTGTACTATTTGCTGTTTCCCTGAGTCTGTCAACATTTCCTACCCACCTGCTATTGCTCATGTGTCTTCCTTGTCCTGGAATCCCCTTCGTTTCTCAGCCCGAAGTGGTCTTGCTTTCTCACTTCTCACAGCCCTTTATGTTTCTTTTAGAGACTTAAGTCAAATTACATTATTCTTTAGCTATTTAAAGTGACAACTTCTCTATCCTCTCTGAGGGCAAGAACCATATTTACCCATCTTTCTACACTTTGCATTCCAAAGGGCCTAGTATAGTACTTCTTTGTAGAGAGTACTTAATAAGTATGTGTCCAAAACCAAAAAAACAAACTTGTTGCCGTCGAGTCGATTCCAACTCATAGCGCCCTCTCTAGGACAGAGTAGAACTGCTCCATAGGGTTTCTAAGGAGCAGCTGGTGGATTCGAACTGCCGACCTTTTGGTTAGCAGCCGTAGCTCGCAGTAGCTCTTAACACGTGTCAGTTGTATTAAATTCTTCTACAAATCCTTGTTGTTTTAGGCTGTAGGAGAATGAAGGGTGGAAACAAAAGCAGCTTGAGGGCCATGGTGGAGTTACAAACCTATAGTGGGAGGAGGGAAATCTGGTGGCAGGAGCCAAGGGGATGTTAGATGTAACTCCTTCAACGAGTCTCTGTGTACATCTCCCCTTCCGTGTTTCTTCTGCCATCATTCAAGTTTCCCTAGCTTTAGTCCAGAATAGGCACATCGTAGGTTACAACTGTATCTCTTCTGATTCACTGGGTAAACATGCAAGGCTTAGTCTCATGCTCGAGAGCCATGTTGGCAAGGTCCCACTATGGAGTTCCCTGTGTGTAGGGTGGTGGTTCTCAGATACCGTCACATTCTAGCCTTGCATTGTGTACCATTACGTGAGCCACATTTCATCCACCACTGAGTTAAAAACTTGCACAGGCCTGTCTCATGACCAGCCCTTTCATGACAGTTAAATTTACTAACACTGTCCAATGAGTGAGGAAGGGACTGAACTTTTAAGCCCGCTAGAGTCAGTACTAGAGCTCTGGAGGGGAGAAGAAAGATTCAAGGAGAGCCCTGGTGAGCAGCTTGCCATAGGAGAGGTTTGGAGGATTCCAGGGCTTCCTTGTGAAAATCCTGGAAAAAAAACCCATGCCATCGAGTCAATTCCGACTCATAATGACCCTATAGGACAGAGTAGAACTGCCCCATAGGGTTTCCAAGGAGCGCCTGGTGGATTCGAACAGCCAACCTTTTGGTTAGCAGCCGTAGCTCTTAACCACTACACCACCAGGGTTTCCATGGAGAGTGAAGAAGCTCTTAGCTGGTGGGGACAAGAGAAGAGTGACATATAATGTACTAATGACTTGTGGAGGTCTTCCTCTTGAGTTTTCACATATGCTGCTCTCCATGCCTGGAGGCTACTCTTGTGTCCACAAAACCATGGACTTTGCTCTAACTCAGTCACTCTAAGCTTCCACGCCCATATCCACCCTTTCACAGTTGCATTAGCTGCGTCTGCTGTAACGTTGTTGTAGCTGCTTTGTTGTTTGTTCTAGTTAGTTGCCCTCTCAATCATAAACAGCCTGCAAGACCTGCCTTCTTACTTGCTACATCCCCACAATAATTAGCTCATTTTTTTTCAAGGTAGCTGTGAAGCAAGAGACATAAAAATGCTTAGTTATATAATGGACACCCAATAAATGCTTCCTTGATTAATTACTGTCCTAAACCAGCTCTATGTTTAAAAAAAAAAAAAAAAGGAATGCTGACATTAGACTCTTCATCTCCACTTAAATCAAGGCTTCTATTATTTTTCAGAATAGATATGTTGGATATTTTGCCAAAGTGAAAAATGTCTACCACTGGAGTCTTCCTCCAAGGAAAATCCTCTTTGTAAAACGCATTGTTATTCATTCAATTCATGGTAAGTGCTTCAGCTATAACTGAAGAATTGGGCAGGAGGGTTTTGTTCATAGCTATATACACAGATAATCCCAACTCATAGCTGTCTTTTTTATGTATCCTCACATATTAACTGTCTGCACGCCTGGAATTGTCCATTAGCTCAGTGATCCTGTGGCCGCATTGTCAACTCTTAGGCTTCCTTCCCCTTTTCTCTTTCCCAGTTCTTGTCTTCCTTTACAGACATAATCAATTTGGACAACTCCATTCCCTTCCCTCCTTTCCTCTTCTCACTGATTGCTCTTCTGGCCTCACCCAGAATGGACTTCCAGGAAGAACCTCTGACGGAGGAGAGAGGAAGGGCCTGTTCGCCCTTGAGGCACTTCTTTCTCACACTTACCTCTAGTTCAGGGCTCTTGGTGGAGGCATCCCTAGGCCCCGTACCATTTTCTCAGCGACTCCTATCAGAGACCCCTTTCTGCTCATCCCTTTCCCCTCCCACCCCCTTTCTTTTCACACATGTCTATTTGGATACCTGCTTTGGGTGGGCCCTGTGCTAGTGCCTCCCTGCCCTTAAGGAGGCCCTGGGTGGTAAGCAGAGGAGAGTTGTGGGCACACAGGTAAAGGACTGTCCATCATGCTCTGGGCGCACAGCCCAGCCTGGGGCCAGGGAAAGCTTCTTCAGGGGCAGCACTTAAGCCCACCTTGGCCTCCCTACTGGAATCTATTTGAAAATGGAAAATCTGGAAGAAAGCCGGGCTCATGCAGAGGGTGACTTTCAGTCCCCCGGCTGTTACCAGTTATTACCAGTAGTCAAAATTCCTAAAAACTTCAAAAGAACTAACCATTTTGCCTGCTTCAGGAATGTAACGATAGAGATGAAATCATGACTGGCTTCCACCATTATCCAGGGAGGCAGTTTTTTAATATGAACAATGAGAATAGAAATAGTTTCTCAAAATTATAAGCTTAAAAATGTTTCTAACAAGCTTGAGAATTATGTTATCTCAGCCTGATATTATATCCTAAGACTGATTTCTCTGTTAAGAATATCTTGGATTTCGTTTAAGCCCTGTGGAGGCATTGATTAGTTAAAACTTTAAGGTGCAGATCTGGAGAAGAGAGGACCTCACCCAAATTATAGGTTCTGCAGGTAGAATCTGGTGGCGTTTTCTGGGCTTGGTTTCCTGCCTCAGGCTAGCATAAAATGTTGTTGTTAGGTGCTGTCTAGTTGTTTTCGACTCATAGAGACCCTATGTCACAGAATGGAACTGCCTCACATAAAACAGAGGCTTTTATTTTTATTTAAAGTGTTTTCTTTTTTTTTTTGTTATAAAGAGGCTGGATGTTGTTTTTTTCTTTTCCAAGCTCTGCAGAGGAAGGATGTGATTTTTTTTTAACATTTAATTATGCTTTAGGTGAATCTTAAACATAGCAAATTAATTTTCTATTCAATGATTCTTACACAAATTGTTTCCTGACATTGGTTGCAATCCCCGCAATGTGTTGGCACTCTCCCCATTTCCTCCCTGGGTCCCCTGTCACCATTTGTCTGGTTTCCCTGTCCCTCCCAGTCTGCTTATCTTTGGTTTTGGGCAGATGTTGCCCTTTTGGTCTCATATAGCTGATTGTTCTAAGGAGCACGTTCTTCAGGGATGTTATTGTTGGATTTTATAACCCCATCTATTACTTGGTTTAATTAAAGGTAGCCTCTGGGAGTGTCTATAGTTTCAAGTTAGAAGGTTGTCTTAGGGCAATAGTCTGGGGAGTTCCTCCAGTCTCTTTCAGACCAGTAAGTCTGGTCTTCTTCTTCTTTTTTTTAATTTCAATTTTGTTCTACATTTTTACCCAGTCTACCCGGGAACTTCTATTGTGATCCCAGTCAGAGTGATCAATAGTGGTAGCTGGGCACCATCTGGAGCCCTGGTAGCACAGTGGTTAAGCGTTCTGCTGCAGTTCGAATCTACCAGCTGCTCCTTGGAAACCGTATGGGGCAGTTCTACTACTGTCCTATAGGGTTGCCATGAGTCAGAGTCGACTCAACGGCAATGGGTTTGGTTTTTCAGTTTTCGTTAGTCTGTTGCATTAATTGCTTCATTTGGACTTCGGTTGTCTTCATTCTCCTTTGTTCCTGGCGGGAAGAGACCCATAGTTGCTTCTTAGATGGTGCTCATAAGCTTTTAAGTCCCCAGATGCTACTCACCAGGATAGGATGTAGGACATTATCTTTATGAACTGTGTTTTGCCAGTTGACCTGGATGTCCCCTGAGACTATGGCCCTTAGCCTTCATGTCCAGTAGTTCAGTACTGATTTCTAAGTTTCTGTAACTGTGCACCCTATATGCCATATTATATATATGAGTATACATGCAGCATTTACAAATATGTATGTAGTCACTATTTATCATACATATTAGCCCATGTATCTACTCCTAAATTATTATTGTAATTACTGTTGTTGCAGGATTGAATATGTTATAGCATTTACCATTGTTACTCTTTATTCTTGCGTACCTCTTAGTGTCTTACTTTGCCTTGGTCACGTTGTGCTGACTTCCCCCGTAATGTGTATTGTCTTACCCTTCACCAGAATTAACACTTGTCTACTATCTAGTTAGTGATTATCCCTCCCTCCCCTTCCCCTCGCTGGTAACAATCAAGGAATGTTTCTGTGTGTAAACCTATTCTTGACTTTTTATAATAGTACTCTGTCCTAGCTATCTAGTGCTGCTAGAAATACCACAATTTGATGGCTTTAACAAAGAGAAATTTATTCTCTCACACTTGAGGAGGCTAGAAGTTGGAATTCAGGGTGCCAGCTGCAGGGCAAGGCTGTCCTCTCTTGTTGGCTCTGGGGAAGGTCCTTGTTATCAATCTTCCCCTGGTCTAGGAGCGTCTCAGCGCAGGGACCCCAGATCCAAAGGACATGCACCACTCCCAGCTCTGCTTTCTTGGTGGTAGGAGGTCTCCTGTCTCTCTGTTCACTTCTCTGTTTTATGTCACAAAAGAGATCGACTCAACCTAATCTTGTAGATTGAGTTCAGCCTCATTAACATAACTGCCTCTAATCCTGCCTCATTAACATCGTAGAGATAGGATTTACAACACATTGGAAAATCACATAGGATGACAGAATGATGGGCAATCACACAACACTGGGAATCATGGCCTACCCAAGGAGACACACACGTTTTTGGGGAACACAATTCATTCCTTAATGAGGTCTCAAACAATATTTGTCCTTTTGTGATTGACTTATTTCACTTAGCATAATGCCTCCAGATTCATCCATGTTGTGAGATTTTTTGCAGATTCATTATTATTTATCATTGCCTAGTAAATGACACCAGAGATCGCATGATGGCGTTTTGCAAGACCAACTTCTTCACTGCAAATAACTTTTTTCAACAACATAAGAGGCGTCTATACACGCGGACCCCTCACTAGATGGAACATACAGGCATCAAATTGATTACATCTGTGGAAAGAGATGTTGGAGAAGCTCAATATCATCAGTCAGAACAAGGCCAGGGGCTGACTGTAAAACAGACCATGAATTGTTCATATGCAAGTTCAAGTTGAAACTGGGGAAAATTAGAGCAAGTCCACAGGAGCCAACATATGACCTTGACCTTGAGTATATCCCACCTCAATTTGGAGACCATCTTAAGAATAGATTTGATGCATACAGACTGAAAATCAGACAGGTTGTGGAATGACACAAAAGACATCATACGTGAAGAAAGCAAAAGGTAATTAAAAAGACAGGAAAGAAAGAAAAGACCAAAATGTATATCAGAAGAGACTCTGAAGCTTCCTCTTGAAAGTAGAGTAGCTAAAGTGAATGGAAGAAATAAGGTAAAAGAGCTGAATAGAAGATTTTAAAGGGTGGCTCAAAAAGAAAAGTATTATAATGAAATGTGCAAAGACCTGGAGTTAGAAAACCAAAAGGAAAGAACATGCTCGGCATTTCTCAAGCTGAAAGAACTGAAGAAAAAATTCAAGCCTCAAGTTGCGATATTGAAGGATTCCAAGGGGAAAATATTGAAGACACATAGAAGTATCACAAGAAGATGGAAAGAATACACAGAGTCACTGTATCAAAAAAAATTGGTCGATGTTCACCCATTTCGGGATGTTGCATATGATCAAGAACTGATGGTATTGAAGGAAGAAGTCCAAGCTGCACTGAAGATATTGACAAAAAACAAGACTCTGGGAATTGATGGAATACCAATTGAGATGTTGCAGCACTGGAGGTTCTCGCTCATCTATGCCAAGAAATTTGGAAGACAGCTACCTGGCCAACCGACTGGAAGAGATCCATATTTGCACCCATTCCAAAGACAGGCGATCCTACAGGATGTGGAAATTATCAACAGTATCAATAATATCACACGGAAGTAATGTTTTGCTGAAGATCATTCAAAGGCATTTGCAGCAGTACATCGACAGGGAACTGACAGAAACTCAAGCCAGATTCAGAAGAAGATGTGAAACAAGGGATATCATTGCTGATGTCAGATGGATCCTTGCTGAAAGTAAAGAATACCAGAAAGATATTTACCTGTGTTTTATTGACTATGCAAAGACATTCGACTATGTGGATCATAACAAATTATGGATAACACTGTGAGAATGAGAATTCCAGAGTATTTAATTGTGCTCATGAGGAACCTGTACATAGATCAAGAGGCAGTTGTTTGAACAGAACAAGGGAATACTGTGTAGTATAAAGTCAGGAAAGGTGTGTATCAGGGTTGTATCCTTTCACCATATTTATTCGATCTGTATGCTGAGCAAATAATCTGAGAAGCTGGACTATATGAAGAATGTGGCATCAGGATTGGAGGAAGACTCATTAACAATCTGCGATATGCAGATGACACAATCTTGCTTGCTGAAAGTGAAGAGGACTTGAAGCACTTAATGATGAAGATCAAACTGCAGCCTTCATTACGGATTACACCTCAACATAAAGAAAACAAAACTCCTCACAACTGGACCAATAAGCAACATCAT